AGAAATTCTAATAAGAGAAGTTCAAATATATTTTGTCTTGTGTTATATAAAGACCACTCAAATTCAGCAATAGAATATTTTCTGGACACAAACTGTATAATTATTTTTTCTAGCGTACATCTTCAGAGTGACTTTTAGAGCTGCTTTTAGTCCTAGATCTTCCACCTGGTAAAATGTGCATGTAGGTGTCTGGCCTGGGGCACAAGCACTAGAAGATCAAAGGCCTATAAATGTGTCAAACTTTCAAATGCAAATCACCTGCCATAGAGCTGCTGAGAACAAATCCTTCACTATCACTATTCTGTGAAAGGCTTAAATTAGCCTGAATTGCCTGAAAAGAACAAGAAAAAGAAAGCCATTTATCTTCCTGTGAGTTTTATTACCTTTAGATTTATTTGGCTAATGGCTCAATGGCCCACTAATCAGAATGAATGCATGACAAATTCTTCAAATGATCCATAAATAAAATATGTGATCACATAATGTTGCTATTAAAGTTAAACCCAGACCTATGACAATGGGTTATTAAAACAGTACTTACAATAATCCACTCTTTTTAATTGCCACACTATGAGCTACTGTGATTTATATACTAACGATTATCATCTTCTTAGCTTCAGGAGAACTTTTTAAGGTGTACTTTCTTATTTGTATGTTCTCCATAGCATCCTGTCATTATTCTGGAAATGTAAGTATTTTCTTAAAAGGTGCTATGTCTTGGCTTTTTTCAACGATGTAATAGAATATTTGATTGATTTAATCGATTGGAAGAGCAAGAGTTAAAAAAAAATCCACAACTGCACAAAATCATTACATATAAAGGGAAATCCTACACCTCTATTGATAAAAAAAAAACCATTGCAGGGAAGTTTTGCTAAGTGAGCTTTATTGGGACCCTTAAAGAAGATACGCCTTGATTAAAAAGCTCTTGGCCAGGATGGACAAGGAGCTGTCTGAGGGGAGCTGACTGGGGACCCTGAGCTCAGCAAGCATCTTCAGAAGGTGGCTTTGGTTGGGTCTGGAGAGGCTCCCCAGAACATCTGTGCTGATAACTTCTACCTACATCAGGGGTACTTTGTACCTCGCTTGCTCTGTTGGTCAAAGTTTTGATAAATTTCCCCTCTGAAACATTCATCCTTCACAGTCACCTATTTCAGTTACGTTTTTATGATCACTTAAACACAATATACAAACCAGGGGCGTATCTTCATACAAGAAGGCTGTACAAACTGATATAGATACCTACATGGATGTCACACCAAGAGGACCCTACAGCTCTGAAAGTTTTCCCCGTTCACCATTCTGTCAAAGTAGTTCCAAGTCTTGGGCTTCTGTGGTGAGAATGCCCCAGTTGTGTTTTTAATAAGAAAACAAACAAAAGCCAAACCCTAAACATCAAGTTGCTGGTATCTTACAAGATAAATACGCTATCACAAAGAAGCTGAGGCAACTGTTATTACTGTTATTGGAAGAAATATAGTTTTCTTGAGGGAATTTTTCAGTTCTATGTACAAATTCAAACCCTTTCAGTGCCAGAGGCACATGCTTAATCTACAGTTATATTCTCCAGGTTATCAATGTGGGGAGAGGAATGTCCTCTCTGGAAGACCTCAGTGGTGAGCTACAGATAACAGAACAGGCAAAAAGATTAGTGGCTTTTAGAAAATTATTTATGAAATCTATAAGGTTATATGGAAATCAATCAACTATTATGGGATACCCTCCAGCCCACCTTCCAAACCACTAAAATCAGAGACTACACTGTGGGAGGTGCTGGAAGAGATGGTGCTGGATAAGGGGTTTTTTGGTAAATTGAGTCAAACTTGGCCTTTGCAACTGGAAAAAAACCCAACCAATCAACCAAAAAAAAAACCAAAAAGGGCAAATATTATTATGAATCTTGCCTGCTTCCAATATTATATCTCAGAACTTCTTAACCATGTGACTATTGTCGTGTTTTCTTCTAACATTGACAAAATGACTATTCCTAGAACAAGAGTAACATATTTGTGAGTTTTTACAGTTAGTGTACTAACAACCTTAACAGCTAGTAACTGACAATAAAACTGGGGGAAAATCAACTGAAAACAGTATTTCTTTAGAAAGCACAAACAAAAATCCTAAGGCTAAAATTTCTCCCAAGTGTCTGTCTTGCAAATTCTAAGCAATCCGCAAGCAGTAAGATTTGGGATTTGTGGAAAGGCAAACAAAGGAAAGTCCAGAAAGCAGAGTGGCAACCTCTTGGATGATAACACATCAGCAGATACCAGAATAAAGGTGTATTTGTACTTGGAGATGTGTGGGCGCAATCCCATCACCTTCATTTGGACTCGATGGTAAGAACACCTACAAATCCCACACATCTCATGATGCTACCTCTATCTGAAACCACGCTGTAGAGCCAGTACTTTCAGTTTAACAAGGTAATAGAGAAGCAAAAGTAGATGTTGGGCTGTATGTGCCTTACTAAAAATTATCCCAGATTATTCCAATCAATCACCTTTTACAACTGAAATTATGTATTTAGTAAAAGCTTCTCATCAGCGCTGTAAGTAATTAGAAGAAAACAGACCATCTCCCACGTTTCTGACTGCCAGGTCTTATTTGGTAAAGAGACCATTCAATAATTATGAAAACTAGCAATGCGTTAGTCTGGGTAAAGTCTCACAGAACCCCTGTGCAATAGGCGTGCACGTGACTGTAAGTCCCAGAGCAATTTGTTCCGCTTAACTCTAGGCTTTGGGGAATCTGAGCCTGAGCACAGCGCTCTTTTCCACCCAGCTGCAGATCAAGCAGTGGATTTAGCTCACCAGCACAAAAGATTCAAAGAAAATGTCTACAACACATCGCAGTGGGCTGAGCAACAGAGAGGCTTAAAGGCTAAAGTCGTTTTGAGACCTGGCTTTCATGTTGGACTGGAAGACAGCCTGAATTTGACCTGAAACAAGGCCACAGATTTCATATGTTTGCAGCAGATAAAACTTGGACAGTTTATAAGGTTTGGCTATCTTGTCTGTGTGTGCTATGTGGTGTCACTGCCAGGGCAGCACTAGAACGCTGGGATAGAGGAAGACTGCACATAAGGGCTCATCTAGTAAGTTTGCCCACAAATTTATCCAAAGCAGACCATGCTCACAATTCCTCCCACGAGGTCCTAAATACCCATACCCTTTCGTGGATCCAACCTTTGTCAAGAGTGTTTGGTAAGACAATTGACTTGTCTTCAAGCTTGGCTGAGGGGGTGATCTAGCAGAGAAAACTGCATTTTAAAACAAGATATTAAAATAATGCTGAAATACAGCTATTTCTACACCATCTTACCTTTAAAAATATCCCTAGTTAGCTTTTTTCCTTCATTGTATTTTAGTCAGGCAGCTACTTCACTTTAAATATCCACCAGGCGGAGTTTTAGTCAAAGCAGCTGCTTTCAGGGAGCAAAATTTTCAAAGGTATGTCCCTTTTTCCAGCTGTGCTTGGTCTTTGAAGTGACAAAATCTCTCAAATTCTGTCAAGGCAAATTGGGATGGGGGTAGAGGCAAGGTTTGGTTTTAAAGAACTTCTAGTTTTATACGTGATTAATTTTACTAAGTTAAATTATGTTCAGTATTAATGCAGCTATAATGCAGGATACATGAGCAAAAGAACTGCAGAGTGGCTCTATCTCCCATTGTAATTTTGTTTTCTTGAAACAGTTAAAGTGTTTTGTTTCCTGAAGGAAAAAAGTGCTAAATGTAGCACCCAGTTTACTGTTTTGTCAGTAGCACTTTGGTTTATAACAACTCAATAATATTCTAACCGCAATTTCCTTTTATCTGCTGATACAAAAGGGCAGGGTTTGACACCTTTTTAGACATGAAAAGACTATCTTGTCTCAAGTAACAGCTGCCATTAGTCTCCTACACCACACTATTTCCAAGAATATTTCTTGGCATAAGAGCACACAAGCAAGGCTGTGCAAATCCTCAAAGTTCAATGACTACCTTCTCAAATTAGGAAATTCCTCTGCTAACCAGCAAAAGAGCCACCAATCCTATATAAGAAGTAGAAATTGGTAAAAGCAATGAAAACGAGTTTTTCTTTTTGATAAGCATGTTCACACACGGTGATATTTCAATCATATTTTCAAGTGAAAAACCAGCATGTGTAGCTTGATGTGATACATAGACACTGAGGAATAGGTTGTTTCTTTTTTACATTACGTATTTCTTAGCTCTCCATGTATACATTCCACATAAACAATATTTATCTTCCTTTCTCGTTGATTCCTCATGGGACCTGAAACTGCAAGTTACAATGACAAGTAACATCGTTTCCTTTGTTAAGCTATGCTAAATATATTTGTGACAGCCAAGTAGATGATTAATACTGTTTGTAAGTGGAAATAATTATATTTATAATGGCATTTATCCTGCTAAGACAGAAGCCCATGGATCTGCTCTGTATTTCTGCAGGAATCAGTCAAGCTAGGGGGATGCAGATGTGAGCCACAAACCAGGTGAAGTACTCACACTGGTCTACATAAGAGAGGGCATCCTACACAGTTGTTTTCACCTCAATTGCTGCTTCTGAAATAGTGGCAGAAAACTTGCCCAAAATTGAGATGCACTGCAAATGAAAAAAACTGATCTGTTTTCTCTTTTTTTTTTTTTAAATGCTTGAACTGTACTTATGAAACCAAGTCAATTTGTAGTGATAATCAGCAACAATCTCTTTTTCTGCCCCCTTCCTCCCACAAAGTTCTCAATATCATACATCTGCTTTCTGGTTTCTGTCATCCAAAAACCAAATCTGTCATAATTCTGGCATGGTATTTTCAGTGAATCATCCACTAAAGCAGTCATCCCACAGTCAGATTAAAAAAACCACCAAAACACCCTCTAATGCCCACTCTTGCCCCCCAGTTGAAAAGAAAACCGTAAAACCACAGAAACCCACACTGAAGTTGCATGATCCCTCCAAAAAGAGTGCATTCCCCTATGCTGGGAGGGAACAAAGAGAGGTCATTCACATGATGATGATATTTTTATTAAAGAAAATTCAAACTCTTGATTCCAGGTTTCAGTATTCAAAAATCAGGAGCAAAGAACAGAATCATACATAACAAAGAACCTTGCTTTTTCACAAAACAATGGTCTGATCTCTCCACTACTGACCACTGCATAAAGAAAATATCCCCATTTACAGTCCCCAGGTGCCTGCTGTTCTTATTCTCCTTAGAAACTTTGTTCTTCTAGCTACCTTCTCACACCATCTGGGTAATTAAGTCTCCAGAAGAGAGAGACCATCTTCAAAACTGAAAATAAGTTCAAAATACTTTGGATTTTTCTCATTTCCATAATATATTTCTCATTTGGAAAATATAAATAAGCTTTCTCCATCTGCCCACAGAGGAAATCAGAAACTATAATTTTGGCTAATTATAAATTGTATTATCTATAGGCTACTTACACCTTCCTTAAGCACATCTGGAATTTAGCTTCCCAACTTTTTAAGACTTGGCCTTTATGAAGATACAATTAACACTTTCATTAAGGCACGAATATACTAAATTTCTGTTGTTACACCTTGGTAAGGGTGGCCTTCCTTCTGGTTGGTCCATAGAAAAGTTATGAGCACCTAAACACAGGCAAGAAGGTATTTTCTAATAAGCTGTTGAAAACAATTTATTTTTTTTATGTAGGAACAGGGATTGCTTCCATATTAAAGAGGCAGGAAGAACACCTTCAAAATTGTAATTGTATTAAACTTCTGCCTTTTAAACCAAATGTTCACATATTATTTGAAGAATCTGCAATATCATCATTAGATTTCTGCAACTTACCCTTCATTCTAGGGTAAGCTGGTATGAGCTTCAGATGGTATTTCATATCTTATTAAAGAAAAAAACGCCCCAAACTATAAATGTTTGATTAAAACAGCCATCAAATTTCCTTACACATTAGACATGGCAGCTACAAAACCAGAATATTCTTCATTGCTTATTCCATTCTTTGTAAGACGCGCACACTCAAAGAACAGTTTATTATAGGGCATGGCAGATACAAATTTAGTTACCCTGCAAGGTACATCTGCTGTGTGTCTCTATCTGGTCCTTCAGAGATAATCAATACAACCAGCATCCCAGGATTTCAAAACCCATTTTAAAACTAGCAAAATTAAGTTAGTGGAGCAGAATGGAAAATTTCAGTTGGAAAGAGCTGTTATCACTTTGTGCTATTAAGAATATCCAACAGTAGTGCTGGCACTACTTTAGTAAGTCTGTTTTTATAAGCAGAAGGACTAATAGATGTACACAAAATTGGTGGAAAAATCCTTGTTTCATATATAAACCTCCTTGTTCCCTTGTATACTATATGCTGATGCTTATGTATCAAGTTCAGAACGTAATCAAGTCCAGAATAACTCGTACTTGTCTATAATCAGCTATCTGGACTTTTGCTAACATTTTGGTTTCAAACTTAAGGTCTAGTATGTGGTATTTCACAGTACTTCCTATTCATCAAACCTGTGCCCACTTAAAATTAACAGATCATACTGTAGAAGCTTTGAGAAAGAACTTCGTACGAACTGAAGATTAAGAGTTCATTGTTACCATGATGTATTTTATGGAGAACCTAATTTATTTGGATTCTTCTTTTTAGTCTTTCAGACAGGGGAAGGGGACTGTCAGCCCATGCATAAGACAGAACAGCACCTTTGGCTTGCTGTGTGGGGCCAGAACCCAACCTCTCAAACTGTTGCTCTGGACTTTGGAAACAATTAACATCCCCTAAAGAGGCTGGTTTTGGAGTTACTTGCAATAAGAAACTATTACCATCTTTTTTTGAAGTGGTTGGTTTCTCCTTCCCTTCAATTACAAGGGCTGAGTCACTGTTTGTTCTTTTGCCAGAAACAACATTACTCCTTTTCTTTGTAAAACATTTTTTAAACTGACTATGGTTCAGTTGCCTTTTTTGCTGCTCATAAATCTGATTTTTATTGATGTTCCCATCATCACTGTCTTCACTAGAAGAACACCTGTTCTGACACACACTCTTCTTAGAAGAAGTTTTCCAAGTAGCTTGAATATAAGCTTTTTCAATGTGACAGCCAGTTACAACATCTGCTGGCTTTTGAGACACCTGAAGCACTTCACACCCAGGATGAAGTGTCCTTGTTGTTTGCCCGCTGAGAGCTAGAGATGTTAAACTGATTATATTATGGCCTTTCTGCATCATTCCAGCCAGGTTGTCAGCTCTTTCGTACTCATCTTGATAAACGTGCACACCGGAATCCTTTGTGCGTTTTTCTGATAGCATGCTTTTACTTTCCTGCACCACTTTATTTAACTTACATGAGAAGGGGATGTAATCTTCATCAAGATTCAATGTTTCTTCTGTTTGTTTAAAACATTTCAAAGGCTCCAGCTGCATTATACCTGCAGACAACAAAGGCTTCGATGGCATGGAAGTCTTCTTAAGTATTCGCTCAGTTAAAGACTTCTGAAGTTGCCCCATAGCATCATTCAAAACCAAATCATCTGCACTATCCAAATGATGCTGATCAGACTGCATAGCACCAGAATATTCTGACCTATTTCTCACTGTTTCATGATCCAGTGGATGTGAGTGTTTTATGCCTGCAGTTAAGTTAGCTGCTGGATCTTGGGCATCACCCCCATGTGCTGATGAACCACTGAAGAAGGTTCCTTCCCAATCAATACTGCTCAGCTGTAGACCAGATGTTATAGAGGAAGCTGTTGACATCCCTGAACTTTTACTAAACTGTGCTGGCAATACAGATGAGTCAGCCACCGTACTCTGTAGCGAGTAACATGATGCAGTCAGAGGAAGAACAGCTGCTGATGCTGGCTTCTGAACAGTAGATATGCAGGAAGCTGCAGCTAACACTGTATCTTTTGATTCAGTACTTCCCTGGTGCAGCTGATCTTCTGGGGGAGTTTTTCTATCCAACACGGAATCCTGCACAGGAAGAATTCCACATCTGGTTTTCAAATTCATTTGAGACAGAAGATTGGTAACTTCATCATAAACATCTGATAATTCTTTTTCTTTCGGTCTGTCTTTTCTGGCTGAAAAAAAAAAAAAAGGGAAAAAGGGCATAGCAAAATGGTGTATTAACCACAGTTCAGATTTCCTAGTATTACAAGTATAAAATGGTAAGATAAAAGCACAATCCCTGCAAGGTATGACCTGATCTTGACAAAATATGATGTTGTTCAATGGTGGGACAAACGTTGGTTACTTTTGCTTCATGTACTTAAGATCCAAAAGTTCATAAGACATACACTTTGGGACTTACTTTTCTGTTTCTTTTTCCTAACTTCTGACTTTTCCACTTGATAAAGGGCAACAATATCAGGATAAGCAGCCTGAAACAAAGACTCCTCTTCTACTGTGACTACAAACAGCCCTGCGGGCTCATTTTCTCCATCAACATAATGTTCTAAAAAAAAAAAGAATAAAAAAAAAAAAGAATGTACATTAGACATATATATATGCACCTATCAAAGTAGGCAGTAAGAAAAAAAAAGAACAAAAGATTTGAGTACAAAGAAGGTATGTAAAAATGTCAATAGTATACTGTTTGAGATTTAGCTGCAAGTAAAGCTTTTTTCCTTTTCATAGTTTCCAGGGCACATTAAAGGTAGAAGTTTGTCAGCACAGAAAAATACCTAGCTAAGAAACAGACACAGCTTCAGGTATTCACAGTGAACTAAGATTTTGTATTTTAATAGAGTCCAGATCTTATTAAAATGTACCAGAAGAAGTACCTGAAGATAAAGTCCCATGTTTTCTAGATAATTTTTTTAAACACTGATTTTACTTTCAGAGTATGTGAAATTTGATGCATATTTTCTACTGTTTTCATAGAAGTTTCCAATCCAACCGACACTTCTTCGCCCATAATGACATAAAATTATTCTACTTTTTAAAGCATGCTCTTTTTCTATTTAAAGTTTTTTTCCATAATGTACATAGAAACAGACTAACCTGGTTTTTGCCACTCAATTTCAAAGCAAGGAATTCCGTTTTTAACACGTGCCTTGACTATCCTGTAAGGACAAAAAAGCGGCCATTAAAAGATTTTGTTTAAACAGGAAATGAAAAATATCTAAATATATTTTAATGCTCTAATTTGTAATGATTCAGGGGAAAAATATTCTTGTAAGAGTAAAATAAATACACCTTTAGAAAATACACTACTTCTTTGTATAAGTTACACAGTATAATTTAGGGTCTAGAATTGAATGCTGAAATATTTCTCTTTTTTTAAATGATACAGCTCACCAGAGCATAACAAGAAATCAAAAAGCTATTCTGCAACAGACAACCATAACACATGACTTGTACAAACATCAGTTTGCCATCTTTAACTGAACTACCTGAAAGATAGTTCCTGCTTGGCTAATCTGACCTCCTTCCACGACAAGGTGACCCACTTTGTGGATGACAGAGAGGCTGTGGATGTCGTCTACCTAAACTTTAGTAAAGCCTTTGATATTTCTTCCCTCAGCATTCTCCCGGAGAAACTGTCTGCTCATGGCTTGGATGGGGTACTCTTCACTGCACCTTAAAAGTTTGGATCTCTTGGGGGTGTTGCCTGATACGAGCCAGCAGAGTGGCCAGGTGGCCAAGAACATCCTGGCTTGGATCAGAAATTGCTTTGCTAGCTGGACTAGGATTGTCCCGCTGTACTTGGCATTGGTGAGGCCACACCTTGAATACTGTGTTCAGTTATGGGCCCCTCAATAAGACGATTGAGGTGCTGGAGCATGTCCAGAAAAGGGCAACAAAGCTGGTGAAAGGTCTGGAGCACATGATTTATGAGAAGTGGCTGAGGGAAATGGGGTTGTTTAGCCTGGAAAAAGGAGGCTCAGTTGAGACCTTGGTGTTCCCTACAGCTACTTGAAGGGAGGTTGTAGTGAGGTGGGTGTTGGTCTCTTCTCCCAAGTAACAGGTGATGAGAGAAAATGGCCTCAAGTTGTGCCAGCAGAGGTTTAGACTGGATATTAGGAAAAATTTATTCAGCAAAGGGTTGTCAAGCATTGGAATAGGCTGCCCAGGGAAGTGGACTTGCTATCCCTGGAGGTATTTAAAAGATGTGTAGGATATGGCAGCTGGGGACATGGCTTACTGGTGGACTTGGCAGTGCTGCGTTAATGATTGGACTTGATTATCTTAAAGGTCTTTTCCAACTTAGAATCATAGAATAGTTAGGGTTGGAAAGGACCTTAAGATCATCTACTCACTTAAATGATCCTAATCCTCAGAGAAGCTGTTGCCACAGACAGTAATTTTCTGAATGACCAGACAAGGTCATTTATATCTTTTGCATCGGAGCACAAAGGAAAATACATGAGCCGAGCAGGAACAGCCAGTCTTTGAGATTTTCTAAAATCATTATCTAGACTAAAAGCATTATCTACACTCCAGTTTAATAGTATCCCGCATGTAAAGAGGCTCCTGCTGAATCATTACTGCATTTTTAAACACTTCTTAACAAAAGAAATCTTCTAGAGCATGCATTACCTGTCTTTTAAACTCTTGAAACACTAGAAAGTGTTATAAACAGAGTATGGCAATTAATTTGCACATCAAGGTAAATGCTGGCAATTCATCTACCCAATCTGTTTAAAAAGCAGCCCCCAACCAATCTCCCCACTTCTTTTAAAGGTAGTACTGAATAGAACAGCTTCCCTGCAAATAACAATTTAACAAATTATGACACATCAACACAGAAGAGATACTATCAACATTGCTATAGACTGTACTTCTGTCCCCCAAAATTAAGGTCTATAAAATCTTGAACAGCATCAAAGAATTTGGAAAATCTACTAACCTTCTTGCAGTACATGAATTTGGAGGGAAAGGGGGAATTTGGGTTTCATTTTGAAATGGAGATCATCAGATACTAAAGTAAGTCACAATTTCCTTCATACAGTGCAGTTGAGATTCGCCAACAGGCACTGTAGATTATGGAAATTTAAATAAGTTTAATAAGATCATAAAAAAATATATATAGATACTTTGGAGGTCTGGTAGAATATGCAGATACTAATTATGGCTCAGAAAACCCCTGATTAACAGAATCCTGGATGATGGGAAAATATTCTGGGGAAAGTAATCACACGATTATCTTCTCTTTTTTCCCTGCATAACCATTTTTAGGAACAGCATACTTGGCCATTTTTATATTCCTTAATGCAGCAGTCCTGAATTAAAATGTTGTTTTGAGAAGAAGAGGTAGCAGAATAGAAACATAAGGCAATGATTTCATCAGACACACAGTACAATGGCAGTCAGTAGGTTCAGTAAGAAATCAGAGAACATGACTGAATCTGCAGATGATCATTTCTAATCCTAGGCTCTTATTTTGAATCACAGAAATCAAACTTTTGCTAAGAACCTGAGAAGAGGATCAATCCTATATTGCTAAATCTCATGTGCAGATCCAAAGAAAGAGAACAGAAAGTAATCATAGGAAAAAGCTGGCATTGTCAGTTAGAATGAAAGGAAGCTGCTGTATGTATTACTTTGTGCAACAGTAGTGTAAGAATTGGCACTCTGATCTAGATTTTTCTCTCTATTCAAAATGAGCATAAGCTTGAAACAGAGATGGAAGGAATGCATTGTATTTCTCTAAAAGGGGTAAAACCCCATGATTTTCCATCCATCAGCAGAAGAAAACATATTAAGTTCCACAAATCAAGCTACCTTACCGTATTGCCTGCATTTGTTTTGAATCAAAGTATCCATGTTTTCTCTGGATCATATCATAATATGTCAGTAGTACTAACAGCTTCTTACAAGCATAATGTTTGCTCCATTCCATCTTCTCAGAAGCAAATATCTGTCAGCATAAAAAAAAATTAAAAAATCCCACCCCAAACTGTAAAAATTTCTTATTCTTTTAGGTATCATGCTTAGATAGCTATATAGTAGCTAGTAACACTGGAAAGTGAAAGCCAAAACAATAGCAGGTGACCTTTTTTCTGAGTACTCTTTCTAGTGGGAGCATACCCTGTCCATGGCAGGAGGGTTAGAACTAGATGATCTTAAGGTCCTTTCCAGCCCAAACCATTTTATATTTCTGTGATTCTGCTTTTTTACATACTGTTAATATCAACTGATTAGGCTTTCAAAAAGATGAGGTGTATTAAGAAGTTGTAGCAAGATTATTTAATTCTTATTTCCAGTAAAATTACCAATGCAGTTCAAAATTACAGATGCCTGCCCTACTAATAAAAATATTAATACTTAACAAAAAATTACAGAGCTGAATGTCCAGTATTTTATTATATACCTGAAATGACAATAAATTTGGCCTTTGATGTTCCTTTATGTTGATTAATTTATTCTTGTTTACAAGAAATTCTTGGATGACCTTGAGATAAAACAAAAAGAGGCAGTTTAAGAGAAAGCAAAAAACTGAAATTTCAAGTAATTGATGAAAAATATTTAATCTTTAAATAGGCTTGTTTGTTACCTGAGAGAATGGAAAGCCCTCACAACTGTTAGCTTTTCTGCAAGTAAAACAAATGTGTTAGGAACCAAATATAAATGGAAAAAATGCAGGGAAAAGCAGTTCAATTTTCAAGACATTCCTACTTTCTGATACTGTCCTCCACTGCACTTGCTTGTTTTGCTTGCTCTAACTGATGCCATTCACAAGAGCAGCAGTATTTGGAGTCATTGGGTTTGCAGTATCTAGTGCTTTCACAGAATTTGCAGCCACTGCGCACATGTCCCTTGTAAGATCCTGTAGAAGCAGATGCACAAGTGTGAGGCAAAAAAAGGTTTCCAAAATCTCCAAATATACAAAAGCTTAGAACAGGTACAAATCTGACATGAATACTAGCTATAAGCTGACCCAAGTGCATTAGTTGTATTAATATATCTACAATGAAAACTAACAAATACAATCAAGCTCTCATTTTTTTGGAAAACATTTTCCCCAACAGTTTCAGACCTTATGCTGAAAACTTTATTACCCAAGACTACAGAAGTGGTCTGTGACAAACTGGCAAATAGAAGTAACTTATTTGAAACAGGCTTTTCTTTCAAGTGATGGGTTTGAATGAGTTCACTGATCAAAGATGCTACCAAAATGAGGTTACTTGAGATTAATTTCTTTTTAAGAAGACACTGCAGCAAAACCCAGCAATGCTAATGGATTCAGCCCTCTTGATGCAAGACCAACTTGGGCAACTAAGGAAATAGCTGCTTGTCAGTATAGCATACTTTCTTCATTGATAGTATTAAAGCGCAAATATCTGGGAACACATAACAGCACCGTGATAACATTTCATCTGCTATCAATTACCTTCACACTTGAAGAAATGTGGTCCCCAGCCTCAAATTATTTATATAAAGATACATATATGTAATACTGAAAACAGGAGCACAGCCCACAAGCTGAATGACAAGCAGTTTTTAATGCTATTCATAAAAATAAACCCATACCAAAACAAACCAATCCCCTTCCCCTCCCCAGAACAAAGAGTAAATAATCAGGCTAGAAATAATTCAGCGCTCTTCAAACTGACCTGGATGATGGCACTCAGAACAGTGAATTACCCTTTTAACAACTAAAGGTGGATTATTATCATACTGAAATTGTTCTTTCCATTGCTCAAATCTAAAAGGATGATATTAAAAGGATTTAGAAATATTGGGTCTATAAAAGAAGCAGTTTTTTAATTAAAGGGATTAACTTTTTCATTTTTTTTTACAATGAAAGTGGAATTTCTACAATGACTTTTTTTACAGTACATTATATGATTGTTGGATTTCTAGTACAGACACACATGTTATGATGAACAAACACAGAAAACCTTTGGTGTCTCATGTCCTGATCCACAACCCAGCTAAAAGCAGCAAAAGTCTCTCATCAGTCCCTATGACTTCCTTTCCAATATATCAGCTTATATATGCTAGCTCAAAAGCTAAGAACCAGCTAATATTTAAAACAATTAAGAAGCTTGATTAGTAAAACACAATTCATTTAGCAAATGAAAAGAACGTGGTAACTAATCTCTTACCCCCCCCCCCCCCAAACTAAAGTACCTTGGAGCTGAAGCACATACTTGCAAGTTTGTATAAAATCAAAATACATCCCCTAAATTTTAATTTTACCTTTGCAATAAGTTTTGTCCTTGTAAAGTCCCAATTAACTTTAAAGCTTGTTCCTTCCCAACCCCTGGAACGCCCTATAGAAACAGAAAAATGAAACATTATTTAACCAAAACCAGAAAAGTTGTCAGATTTTCATAAAAACTGCCTTCATAACATTAAATAGAAAACTGAAAAAATTGTCCTAGATGTTGAGAATAAATTGAGAAATATAAATTTTAACCAAGTTCTAACATCAGAAAAGGGGACATACTACACTGTACTACCAATGTAACACAGATAAGGTTGTTTTAGAGCCCTGTCCAACCAGCCTTGGAGGTTCCTTTTCTGCAACCTAGCTTATAGACTGAAATCCAGAACTTTGTAGTAACCCCTTGCTGTGGCTTAACTAAGTACTGTACAGCCACTTGCTCACTCATTCCTTCCTCCCCTGCATGGGGTGGGGAGGAAAAAAGGTAAAAACTCATGTGTGGAGATAAGAACAGTTTAATAACAGAAATAAAATACAGCAATAATAACAACAGTGATGATAATAAAATGGAAGGGGAGGAGAGGAAGGGGGGAAGAGAGGGTGTGGGTGTAAACAAACAAAAATAAAATTGAAGTGATACACAATATAATTGCTCACCACTCATTGACCAATACCCAGTCCGACCAGAGTAGTGATCAGCCCCTTCCAGGTTAACTCCCCTCAGTTTATATACTCGGCATGACATGCTGTGGTATGGAATATCCCTTTGGCTAGTTTGGGTCAGGTGTTCTATCCCTGTTCTGTCTTGGCTTCTTGCACTCCTTCCTCATTGGCAGAGTATGAGAGACTGAGAAGTCCTTGGTCAGGGTAAGCGCTACTTATCAACTAAAACATCAGTGTATTATATGCGTTATTCTCATACTAAAGCCAAAACACTGTACCAGTTACTAGGAAGAAAATAAATTCTATCTCAGCCAAAACCAGGATACCCCTAGACATACTAAAGAGTGAAAAATCATTTGATTCAAAACAACCAGAGAAGGAACAGAAAAATGATCCAGAGGCTGGAGCACCTTTCCTATGAAGCCAGTGTGAGAATTGGGGTTGTTTAGCCTGGAGGTCCAGGAGACCTTATTGAGGCCTTTCAGTACTTCGAGAGGACTTATGAGAAAGATGGGAGCTAACTCTTTAGTAGGGGTAGGGCCTATTGCACTAGGGGAAATGGTTTTAAACTTAGAAGGGGAAATATTCAGATTAAATATAAGGAGTAAGATTTTTTTATATGAGGTTAGTGAAACATTCAACAGGTTGCCCAGGGAGGTGGTAGATGCTCCATCCCTGGAAACATTAAAGATCAGGTTGGATGGGGCTCTGAGTAACTTGATCCAGTTGAAAATGTCCCGCTCATTGCAGGTGTGCTGGGCTAGCTTCAAAGGTCCCTTCTAACCCCACATATTTCATGATTTAAAATGCACGTACTGCTTTTCCAGTTACTCATTCAATCTTAATCCTATTTTGCCAAGAATCAGTATAGTTGACTAAAAAGACTGCATTGAGTGTGCTTTCTACAGCATTATTACAAATATATTTGTATCTTATTTTTCTTCAGCTGTAATGTCAAACTGAATTATGCAACCATGTGAAATAAATGTACATAGAATCATAGAATAGTTAGGGTTGGAAAGGACCTTAACATCATCAAGTTACATTCAAAACCAATTAGGAGTTCCTACTGGACTGCAGCCAGACACTTGGGTAAAGAGTCAGTTTCTGCAACGAAAGCATCAGCTTGATATATATTTAGCAAAGTACAATTACAGAGTAGTATTCTAATTTTTCTGTTCTGCCAATCCCCATCCCAATACATTCCTGAAATTCAGCTTTTGTTAGAAGTGATTATCTTCATCCACTTTGCTCATGCATCATCACCCACTTTAATGGCTGCAGTACCTCAAAATACCTACCTGACATTACATAATTGTTTCACCTTAGGACTATGCAAGAACCTGGCATGCTGGGAGCTGCTACTTCCATTACAATAACCACTTATTAGTCACTAGGCTTTTAAACTCCGTATTATTATCGTAATTCTTACAAAATAAATGTATAATAATAGTAAACAACTATTTAAAGTTTTCTATAACAGAAATAAGTCTTACAACAAAAAAAATAAGAGATTCAGCATTATCAGCTAGTTTAAAATGACAGTTTTATCAAACTGGAACACAATATATTTAAAGCATAAGTAGATATACACTGCAAGCGTGAATGGGAGCAACCATTGCCCGAAGTCACTGTACAATGAACTGTATAGAAATCAAGTTTAATTCTACTGCCTTTCCACTTCAAACAGCCATTACAACAGCTTCTATTCAAAGATCCCCAAAAATTCCAGAGCTCACAGAAAAAAAGAAAATAGTGAAGTAGCGATGAGTGAGATACTTCTCACTTCATTTATCAGGCAAACTTTCAAGGAGGTGACTTCTTCAATAAATAATATATTTACAAATAATAGAACTAAAAGGGGATACATCAAAACTGCATCCAGAACTGGCAACACTAATAACTACAGGTTAAAACAATCACTACTAATTTTTCCAAGCAGCACAGACAAAACTAAATTTTCCACAGCGACCCTGCCAGGGATGTACTTACACAGTTATCAAGCATCCTCACAAACAATTGAGTTTTCACAACTTTGCTCAGTGTAATCAACAGCTAAACTTTTGTCTTCAGTTATATACCAAGTCTGGAATAACACATAACAGCTTTAAAAAGATTAATGTACATGAACCATTTTGATTATCTTTAAGCCCTCAAAAATAAAAATTACAGCAACTTACCAAGCATCTTCTTCAACTAGAACTCAGTTAATTATGCACTGCATACAATTTTGTCAGCATGAACACATCATTGTTGACATAGTTTATTGATTTTCAAGGCAGTGTAAGTACCTAATAAAAAATAATTATATTGCTTACCTTAGGAAGATAATCACAACCCAGAAGAATAGCTAGCCCAATCAAAGATTCTCTGTCACAACCAAGCTTCTCCTTAATAGAGGACATTGTGTAACAGTCAAGATGTGGATCCTGCAAGAGAAATTCATTGCACGTGTTATTTCTGTAACATAGGGAAGGAATTGCCCTGAGTCACATTCAGTTATGATTGCTTACCCACCCCTATTCACCCACATCTGCAGGAAATGGGTCTATCCCCTAAGATGGGTCTGAGAGAAAAAAAAAAAAAAAAAGCATCAATTAAAATTTATTAAAAGTTATTCACGGACAACATATGAACAACAGTTATGGAATTTCATGTTTTAAATTGTTAATAAAAAACCCCAAAATAAGCCAAGGGGTGTTTTTTATTGTGTGGCAAAACTAACATTATCCACTACTATTGGCTGTGCAAGTCATCTCAGGAACTGCAGTTTCTAAAATCTATGTAAACATTTTGATGTGCTACTTGAATAAAAAAAGAAAAAATAATTAAAGTGTTACCTTGAATATTAGACATGAGCTATGGAACTTCTGAAACTTTGAAAGGCAGAGAGACTCAAACACAACAACATGAAATCAAGATTAACATGAATCAAAACATAGAATATTGCCTCCATGCCCTGCTCCCCCAGCAAAATAAAAACACCACACATGCCAATAACCCCAAATAATCCAGTGCTCTGGGAGAGATGCCCCTGCCAAACAAACATAAATTATTTTTGTTTGTGTTGACTTAGGTAAGTAACAAAGTACATTAAAATATTGAGGCCACCTTCATTTTTGGTGATAAATGACACAGCATATCAGGTCAAAACAGAATCCAAACATAGTGCCATCAAAGGAAGTCATCATCCATCAACTTCAACTAGTTTTTTTTTTTAAAGTTAATTGTTCACAGCACTTTTTTTCTATTGATTTTTCTCCTGTTACTGAAGCATTTTCTTCAGTCCTTCAACTGAACTTTAAAATACCAACCCCTGTATCATTTTTCCTCCACTTTCATTTTAAGTTCACTAGACAGAACATATGCATTCCTTTCTATGATACAGATAAAAAATACAAATTACAAAAATTTGGGGTTGGCCTTTGCCAGGTCTGGAAAAATACACTCCTAACGAAGGAACACTTCAGCTCAGTGTCATAAATTGATTATGATATAAACATACAATCAAACCTTATTCATGTTCAATTGGAGACTAATTTCATTAATTGTAAGTATATTCATAATAAACCAAACCTTTAAGACACAAGCATGTGAACACTTATTACACCTATGAGGCTGACCACTCCCATATGATCTAATGGTAAATTTGGAGGAAGCAATTACTTCACTAAAATTCTCCACTGTAGAGGAGAAAAGGGGGGACGGGGATGGGGCTGGAAAGGGGGTGGGAATCAAAGGTTGCTACATCTCTTTATATTATGCATCACTAGACACTACAAACACAGATGATAACCTACGTATTATTCAATTCAGTAGTTTTGCTCTCACATTCAATACACAAACTGACAATGAACCAAACAAAACATCTGTGTCTTAAACATACTACTTTAGAAAAACTCACCTATGAAACAATAATATCTAAGTAATTATTTCAAATCCCTTCTTTCTCTTTACATTTTTGGGAAGAGTCTAAAGAGAGGGTGAGAACAGGATGAGCTACACTACCTTAGCATTCATAGCAAAGTTCCTATAGACTGTTTGAGCTCCATATAAGAAGACATCTCCATCATTGGTAATGCAGCCATCAACAAGTCCTTCTTCATTGAGGCAGGCACACATTGCCTCTGCTTCCCCAGCAGCTTGAACCCAAGGGACACCTAAACACTCCAGCAGTTCCAGACACTAAAGAAGAAATCCAAAAGGAGAGTGATTGAATGCTGAATTAAATCCACTTATTAGCATGCATTTTCTGAGTGTATACAAAACTTGTTACTGTTGCACTGTCTATAGAACCCTACATCAATACAAATAGTACTTCAGGAGAAATAGTCTACCGTAACAGTGGAAAGAAATACCCAAGAGTAAAGTTACAGACTTAAAACACAGCATGATTAATGGTTACTCATTTACACTTTAAATAGGTGTTTAGGATGTTTTCAAGAGAAAAGTAACAAAGGAATATTTACCTATGAGAAGCAAAGCTGTTTATTCAACTAGTAATACTGGGCTAGCATAGACATCTTTCAATAGACAGCAGACTCACCAGGAATATCAAGCATGAAAGTACAGTACTATCAGTCTAATAAAACTAGACCATAATATAAGACATACTGATAGATACTTATATATACTACTTACAAATTTCAGTAAAAAATTCCATCTATTGAAGCCATGAGCATTTAGAAATTCTATTTCATAAAATTTCATATAGACAAAAATTATCAAATATCTGCAAGAAAGAATGAAGACTAATACTACTGAATAGGAGGTCTTTGCAACCACAGTTGTCTCAATCATCTATACAACTGACTATACAAATCTTCCCTTTAGCCAAATCCAACAGGTTTCCAACAAGTATATCCTCTTATCTATTCAGCTAGTTTTCCAAATCATAGATCTAGGTTACAAAACAGTTTTGTGGACATTCCTGCTTTCACATACACCCCAATCTAGAAAAAAAAAAAAACAATTATAACACTATAAAAGAAATAGGAAGTTGAATTTCTTTAATAAACACTCAATTATGACTATGGCTTACTACAGCATAACATGCACAAAAACATGAAACATGGAAATTATTCTGATATTGTCCTTCTTCTACAAGAACAGTTAACAGATGCTGTAAAGCCCAATTTCAATGGTATGTGTTCCCTCAAAACTCAAAATACTGTTTAAATGTGTTGCATAGAAAACTACTAATTGTTTCTAGTTTTTGTATTCAGTTTGGTTAAGATTTCTCCCTATCATATTAAAAATACTGGAACACAGCCTCAATTACTCACCTCTTTCAGAATGGCTTTAAATACAGATCTCCCTGTTCTTGCAGCTCGAACCTTCGTCGAAGGTCCATAGCGCATCTCATTCCTCTTACTCAACGTGTCTGCTTTCAATCTGGGGGCCTCTCCTTCCATGACAAACACTAGTTTAATTCCCATTGATGTTAAGAAAGAGATCCGAAAAAAGATGTTTCTGCAATAAAGCAAAGTGCTCCGTAAGCTGCAGAATTAGTAAAGCCTGATTTATTCAGATGTTTCCCTTAAATCCTTCAGCCTACCTCAGGAATAATCTTAGCTTTCTCTCCATCTTTTACAATTTCCTCACCCCCAACCTAACAAACTTTTTATCTATACCCCTGCCTTTGGTTGACGTTCTTTTGCTGTGAAGTTGTAACAGCTTTACAAAATTCCCAAGGAAATACCATAAAGAACAAGAACGTAAGCAAGTATAAAAGGCTTAATAAAAACCAAATCAATATCCAAAGTCTGCTTCTGAACGCATATCCACAACAATTCTTTTGTATCAAATTTCCATCCCAAATCTATCAATACCAGTACATCAGACTCTGAAGTGATTGAATACTGTGTTATTAGACAGACTTATAGATACCACTACCATGCCAATCTATTTCATATGCAAACCAGCGTCACTGATGGAGAGAATTTTGCAAGAGAACAATAATAACTATTTGGTCTATAGCAGTAAAATTAAGAGCAGTTAAGTGTCAGAAAGCGTACACTTTTCCCTGTAATTCCAGTATCAAACTTTCAAAAGAAGCAGACCGAACATTCATATCACATTGATTGACATTAGTCTATATTTAATTTTGTATATTTGCTATTGGTAAAAAAGAATAAGCTGATCTCTTGAGGCTAGTTCTGTTTTCATAAATTATATAAAAATTTAGCACAATAAGTTTCTGTGAAATATTTAGTAAAACAGTTGAATTTCTAACTGCCTGAAAACTTTTTTTTTAGAAATCTGCTTGCCTTCCTTTTGAAAGACTGCATTAGGGATCTGCACTGATGCTTCCATTCCACTGCACACAGGACATCCTATCAGAGGGAAGTAATGACTTTGGTCATGCTTCAAGTTTTATAGTTAATTATCCATTTGGCATCATAAGTAAAACATTATGAGAAATTATTCTCAGAAGATGCTGGTATTTCGTATCAGCTGAATTCAACACAAGCCACAGGAAGATCTAACAGCAGCCAGTAACTTGAAATTCTTGAGCTAATAACATGACATTTATATAAATTTGCATACATTTTTTTTTGTCAGCATCATTTGCAGAAAACAGTACTTTGAAGGTAGAGCTCCTTATACTTGCTCATCCCTTAAGATGCGATTCATTTAAATTAAAAATATACATACCCTTCAAGTTTGTTCATAAGCTTGACGAACGATTTAAACCTAATTCCATACGGTGTCTAACTAGAATTTTAATTTATAAGCCAGATCAGGATAGAGCATGCATGGCTGTCACTATGCTCTGAACTGACTAGCATCCAAGCTGATGTGATAAACAGTTTAACCTCCCATACTACTTTCCATCACACAGATAGGAATTAACACATTGATTTGTGATCCTTGGTAGTCTGTGTATCACACAGAGCTATACCACAGTAAAACAAATACGGTTCTGCTTAAATCCATGTCATCCTCATCTACAGTTGAAGCCTCAAGATAAGGTAGCCTGAGCCCAAGTACTTCTATTTGCACCCAAGCATTAAGCTGAATTCAGCATTATGGCTGCATTTTCACTTCAAACCTTTTACATATACAGCACAAGTGATAAAAAGCCAATACACTCATGTGGATTTTGGAGGTAGTCTTAAATTTGGAGTAACTGTCATACCTAAACAGGTACAAGACTTCTGGCTACAATAACTTATATGGATACCATACCTCAGATGTGGCTTGGTCACTACTCCAATCATGTTTTTAACAGTCTGTGCTTCACAAACCCACAGGCTTAAATCAACAGCAAGTGTTTTTCCTTTGAGACTGGTCAAGCTGATAGGCTGTCTCACAGGTTCAAGGATTTGCCACAGATTAGTCACTCCCATTTTTGCAGCTTCTTTTTAGTCAGCATGAACCTTTTAGCTGTGAAGACCAAGCAAAATAAAATACTTTCAGTATACAGTATGAAGTACGATATATAGAATCATAGAATAGTTAGGGTTGGAAAGGACCTTAAGATCATAGAGTTCCAACCCCCCTGCCTTGGGAAGGGACACCTCACTCTAAACCATATTACCCAAGGCCTTGTCCAGCCTAGCCTTGAACACTGCCAGGGATGAAGCATTCACAACCTCCCTGGACAACCTATTCCAGTGCCTCACTACCCTAACAGGAAAGAATTTCCTCCTTATATCAAATCTAAACTTCCCCTGTTTAAGTTTTAACCCATTACCCCTTGTACTACCACTACAGTCCCTAATGAAGAGTCCATCCCCAGCATCCCTATAGGCCCCCTTCAGATACTGGAAGGCTGCTATGAGGTCTCCATGCAGCCTTCTCTTCTCCAGGCTGAACAGCCCCAACTTTCTCAGCCGAACTTCACATGGGAGGTGCTCCAGTCCCCTGATCATTCTCGTGGCCCTCCTCTGGACTTGTTCCAACAGATCCATGTCCTTTTTATGTTCAGGACACCAGAACTGTACACAATACTCCAAGTGAGGTCTCGCAAGAGCAGAATAAAGGGGCAGGATCACCTCCTTCGACCTGCTGGTCACATTCCTTTTGATGCAGCCCAGGGTACGGTTGGCTTTCTGGGCTGCAAGCGCACACTGCTGGCTCATGTTCATTTTCTCATCGACCAGCACCCCCAAGTCCTTCTCCACAGGGCTGCTCTGAATCTCTTCTCTGCCCAACCTGTAGCTGTGCCTGGGACTGCTCCGACCCAGGTGCAGGACCTTGCACTTGTCATGGTTAAACTTCATGAGGTTGGCATCAGCCCACCTCACAAGCATGTCAAGGTCCCTCTGGATGGCATTCCTTCCCTCCAGTGTATCAACCGAAACACACAGCTTGGTGTCATTGGCGAATTTGCTGAGGGCGCACTCAATCCCACTGTCCATGTCAGCGACAAAGATGTTAAACAAGACCAGTCCCAACACTGATCCCTGAGGAACACCACTCGTACCTGGTCTCCAGCTGGACACTGAACCATTGACCACAACTCTTTGTGTGTGGCCATCCAGCCAGTTCTTTATCCACTGAGTGGTGCATTCATCAAATTGATGTCTCTCCAATTTAGAGACAAGAATGTCATGTGGGACAGTGACGAACGCTTTACACAAGTCCAGGTAGATGACATCAACTGCTTTACCGCTGTCCATGATTTTTCAAATATGATGGACAGTGGCTTAGCAACTTCATTTGCCAGCTCCTTCAGGACCCGCGGATGGATTTCATCAGGACCCACTTGTGCACGTTCAGATTTTTAAGATGGTCTCGAACCAATTCCTCTCCTACAGTGGTCCCAAGGTCTCCATTCTCAGAGTCCCCGTATCTGCCTTCCAAGACTTGGGTGGTGTGGTCAGAGCCTTTGCTAGAGAAGACCAAGGCAAAGAAGTCATTCAGAACCTCAGCCTTCTCCAAATCCAGGGTAGCTAGTTCACCCGAGAGCTTCCTGAGGGGGCCTACATTCTCCCTAATCTGTTTTTTATTTGCTATGTACCTGTAGAATCCCTTCCTGTTATCCTTAATATCCCTAGCCAAGTTTAATTCTAACTGGGCCGTAGCTTTCCTAACCTGGTCTCTAGCTTCCCAGACAATAACCCTGTACTCTTCCCAGGCCACCTGTCCTTGCTTCCACTTTCTATAAAGCTCTTTTTCATTTGAATCTTCCTCAGGAGCTCCTTATCCACCCAAGGAGGTCTCCTGGCCCTCCTGCTGCACTTCTTTCTAGTCATGAACATGAGGCTCAGAAAATATTTAGTCATCACCAGTTTTACTTTTATGAGCCAAGAATATTTTCAATCAAGCCTTCCAAGTGTGTAGTCACTGCAGCTCACAGATGGTTTATTACTAAATACCTTCTTAGGGCTGTACATTTTCATTGCTAATATCCTGAACATAAATAAAAACAAACTCAGCGTATGTGTGCAAGTCATTCATTTCCAAATCTTGTGTGTCCCTTGCACATGCACAATCCAAGCTATGTGCAAAAAAAAAGGAAAACCACACCTCTTGAGGGAATTACTTCCTGATCTGGAGTGGCAGGACTCAAAATGTTTCTGTTCAAACAGAAATAGCTTAAAGCTACTTGAGGAATACTTACTATGAAAACAAAACTTGAACTTTCCTTAGCATTCCAAGATGATATAAAGAAGGTCAACAACCATGGATTCTGGCTTAGGAAATTCAAGTTGGACTTCAGGAAAAAAAATGACAAGGGGTACAGCAGCACTGGCTGTCCAGCGGTTACAGAATCTCCATTCTTGGAGATTTTCAACATCTAGCCAGCACACTGTCTTACCAGTTTAATCCACTACTGCTGCGGAAGTCCTACTCTGAGCAGGGAATCAGCGCTGATGACCTCCAGAGGTCCTTTTCAACTAGCATTTTGCCATTTATAATGGTGTGACTGCAGAAACACAGCAGCCTGTATGTTTATTACCATCTAATTTTGTTATGGCGTGATTGGCACTACCTGTAATGAACACCAGCTGAAAACATACACCCATTAGGTGGTATATTTTTTGTCTCTTATTTAACATTACTTCTATACCTCTGTTCTCTATGCTACCACACTACCAGATTTAGTTTTTTATTTCTTTTCCATTATTCTTGTTTTCATACCTTGCCAGTTCTATGCAAGGCCTCTATCATATACTCTACTTTTCCCCCTCACGATACCCACCTATTCCTGCACTTATTGTACAAAGTTTGCCCCATGCTTATTTCTCTATTCCCTCAATATTCTCTTCTCCCTCAATATTCTCTTCTCCCTCAATATTAGAAGATAAAAACCGGATAAAATCTGGAATGTTTTGTATCTCTCTCTTTCTGATTTTGGAACTGCCATGTACTCAAAACAAAACCCTTCTCTGAATAAAACTTGATTGGATAGGCTAGCCGCCCGTGCTCGGAGATCAGTTTAAGACATCCGAGGAGCTATGCCACCTTGTGGCCTCTAGTGAGAACGGCCACGTTAAATTCAGCAGTCTGTCGGAACAAGCAAGCCTGTCTTTCTACGGTGTGCTGCTTTATACCTTACAGTTGTTTCAAAGCAAGGCAGCTGAAATTCAAAAAGATTGTTTTTGAATCAAGTTCTCACGTTAAGATTTAATTTCAACAGAAATCGAGTTTCTCTAATCCATTTACCTACTACAGTCACTCAACCTGATTTTAGTCATATGCATACGTGTTTTGCTTTTGCTATTGCTACACCTAAAGCACATAAAAGGATTTAAACACAAATAAAACATGCAAATACATGGCACAATTTCTTTAAGTCCAGGATGGTCAATTTCTCTGATGCACGGGGGGGCCAAAAAAAGGCATCCAAACCTTCTCAAAAGACAAGTGTGATACTCAGCTTCAGTGAGATTTAACAGGAGAACACCTACCAGAAAAACAGACATGTCTTTTTTAATGTTTGCATTTGGTTCCTTCCAGTCTGCATTAACACAAATTCTTAAAAATCCCTTGCATTACTTGTTTACTAAATATTATTATGGACTGTCACACACTATTAATAGAAAAGACATACACTAGAAATAATATAAGTATAAAAATTTGAAAACTACAAAAAAAGGACCATTTTTTTTCCCATTATGAGATAATACTGTTATTTAAGGACAGAAATTTTCCTTGCCCCTTTCAGTATATATCTAGGGCAGAGTTATGAGAGCCTGTGAGGCCTACTAGTCTTTGTTTTTCTGAGCATATTTTGTAAAACACTTAGAACTGGATCCTCTATACAAACAGCTCTACTATCTTTAATAGGAGTGATCTGTCTACTCAGATTTTATTGAGAAACTTTGTTCATTACAAAGCTCTGATGTGTTTAGACAGATTGTATCTTCCAAAGTAGGAAGACTGACCTAAGTCACTGAGGGCATTATGCTATTACAAGATCATTGACAGGAAATATCAACTCAAAAACCTTCCCATTTCTCACTGGGCCAACATATTCTTTTATAAAACATAGCTCTTATGTTTTATAAATTGTGTTTAAGTCTGTATTGTACCCTACAAAGTTTTTCACAGACGGAAAAGTAAGTCAGTTACTTAAATACAAAATACATTTAATGGCTAAATTTCACACAGGTATGCTTCCACCCATTGCCAACGTAATCTGCAAAGACTGCCAAGCATATACTTCATGTCTGACGCAGAGGCCTTTAACAAAAAAGGGGGAGAGAAAGAAAAAGAAAGCTCTCAAGACGTTTGTAACAACTCCCCCACTCCCTCTGGTCTACGGCAATACCTCAGCGCCTAGCCCAGCTTTGCCTCCTAAGCCCAAGCACCCGAAGCACAGCAGTGGCATGCTTCAGCATTTACTGATTCCTCCTCAAACTCTTACATTAATGCGTGTCCTTCCCCTCGATGAAAACAAACACGGGAGGTTGCCTAAACGCGAAGTAAGAGGACACACAGGCGTCTCGAGCACAAACATTCAAAATTCCCGCCTTAATGCCAGGCAGCGGTAAGAACGCACCGTACAAATGAAAACCAAGCTTTCCCTAACCCCCTGTGAGGAGAGAAGCCTTCCGAACGGCTCTCCCTGCCCGCTGAGGACTGCGAGTCCACCACCCCGGCTCCAGGCTTGCAGCCCGCCCTCCCGCACCGCTGCCCACCTGCGAGGGGACGCTAGCGGAGCGAAGGCTGGAGCACTTCCACTAGAGAAAATGGGAAAACGGGGAGGGGCGCATCGGCAGAAACTTACATCCCGGTTAGAGCCCTAAGAGGCGCGGGGGCACCGAGCTCAACAGCTACCGAGGCCCCACAGCAAAGGGGAGGTAAACAAAAGACCCAGCAGCCGCCCCATCCTCTCAAAAATGGCGGTCGCGCGGGAACGTTCTGCCTGGGCCGGGGGGTGAAAACTGCTGTCGCGCTGTAACGGCCCACTAGGGGCGGGAGCGCGCAGGCGCCGTGCCTGCGCTGGCTCTTCCGTCGGAAGCGGGTAGTTGCTTGTGGCGCGCTACCTGGGTCACTTCTACCTGTCCGTCACTGACTGCGCGGGCCTCAGGACTTGCCCGGGGTCCGAGCCGGCGGTGGCGGTTGCAACGGCCCCATCTGCAGCGGCGCTGAGGAGAGGTGAGGGGCGGCGGGCCTGGGCGGGCTGCGGGGCCTGGCAGCCGATGCCGGGCGCGTCACTTCTCCCTAGGATCAGGGGACGGCTGGGAGGGAGATTAGTTGGTCGGTCATAGGGCAGCGGCGATGCCCGTTTCCTCTCGGTGCGCCTTTCGGTGGTGGTTCTGTAGGGGTACGTTAGTAGCCAGAGAGGGCTTTTGCCACCCGCTGTCCATGGCTGCCCTGCCCGGGGAGAGGACTGACCGCAGGCTGCACGGCTTTGGCCGGTGGGAGCCGGTGCTGTGGAGATCGGGGCGGGGAGCGGCTAAGGACTGAGAGGCTGCCGCCGCCCGAGCTATCCATCCGCGGAGGTAACGGTGTAAGTTTGCTGGGAGGTGAGTGGGTCCTTTCAGGTTGTCTGCGGAAACTGGAGGGCCAAGCAACAAATAACCATGAAATTGGAGGTGAGAGTGGGCGGGATTTCTGCCCCCCTCTTTCCTTTGTGCCTCCCTACAGAAGTGGAACTGCCTTCTACGCTGTTGTTGGTCAGACAGCGCTTTTCCAGTTGTTTGGATAAGCTGATGTAGACTTTCTGTGCATTGGCTCCAAATGTATTCAAAGAGGAGTCGGGAATGTCAGAGTCGTGTAATCTAATTTGGGATCTCTGTCACAGCCTCTAAAAACACAGCACTCCAATGCTGTGTACGAATCTGGGCTTCTGACTTCCGTCCTCTGAAACGTGTGCCTTTTAAGTTCCCTTTGTTACTATAAACTCTAGAAGTAATTTCTCATTTGCTTGTCATTTTGCGTCTGTTTAAACAAACATAGTGTGCTACACCTCAGCAGAAGACCACAACTCCTTTCTTCTCCCACCTTATGCTTACTCCCCGATCTTGCATTCATCCTGCTGTAGGATGGCTTCTACCTACTGTTTTCCTAACTGGGCAAAAGGCAGTCTGGGTTGTAGCAGCGTGTAGAATGGTTAAAGTGGATGTTTTGAGTGCCAGCTGCTTCCTATCTCACACCAGGCCAGCACAAGGCTGCTAGAAAGCCGGTGGAGAGGCTTTGGTGGCTATAGGTTGGTTGTGTCTGCTGTGGATGAGGCCAGCTGTGACCAGCCAGGTAGGGAAAGGGGAGAACGGCTGTAGAAGCACACCACAATGGAAACTGAAAAGAGGTGCCCTTGGTTAAGTTGCAACATGGGTGGGCAGCACTGCATGTCGCTTCCAGTGCATGCAGCCTCTGTTTTCCTATACTTTTAACAGGGCAATTACTTTTCTACTACAACATGTAATAGTCCTAATAGTTTTATACAGCACATTTGGGTATTGAGTTTTAATTTTGTGCTCTCTTTACATGTGTAACTATTACTTCTAATAATTTGTAGTAAACCTGTGATGTTTTTATAATTGGGTCTACTTGGCTCTTATTTGTTCCTAATTTATAGGTCTAGTTTTTATTCCTATTCTCATTGTAGCTATTTTAACCACTGGCACTTGCCTTAATAATTCCTGAGGCAACTTCAGTACTGTTTGCTTCAGTTCCAATTAGGTTTTATTTGCAGTACTAGCTCTTCAGGAGTTCCAGAGTGCAGACTGTCCTTCGTTTGGCCTTCATCATGCTTGGATTACATGAGTGAGTTCTCTTCTAGGTTATTTTGTTCTGTTTTCCGCTCTTCAAGTTCTGTTTTAAAATGTCCAGTTGGTATTGTGATAGAACTCATAGCCCTTATCTTTGGTTCCCACATTAATAACTACAACATTGAAACTTTGTGTTTTGCCTTCTTTCTAGAGAGAAATTTTAATGGAACAGCAGATTGAATGAATGCTTGCCTTCATATTAAGGTGATGGATAAATTCCATGAGCATAGAAGTGACTCAGGTCTTGAGTAGTTAAGCATGAAGACATGTTTGTTTGTGGAGGAAACTGAAAGTAACTTAGCAAAAGTTACGTCAACTGAATCAGGAAGTGTATTTCCTCCTTGGTTTCTACGTGTATGGTATTAAACTATATAACATAAAACGGAAATGGCAGATTCCCTGTAAATACTTAATGAACATAATAATAATCCAGTATTTGATCCAAAATCCCTGCCATACAAAACTGTTACAAGAATGTCAGATGCAAAGATTATTGCATTTCTGCATTTGCTTTGAATTTTATTTATTGCACTTATGGGGAAGAGATGCATATTATTACTTTCTTTATAATTTAGAAGCTGTGTCAAAATTGACAGAATTGTTAGACACTATTTTATAAAACAGTGAATACCTGGAATAGAAATTAAATACTCTTTGTTATGATGTAACAGATTTTAATGTTTGTGGTGTTTCGTATAATAAGTGCTACTGTCTCTGGTACATGGTAGTTCAAGCTATCTGATGAGAACATTGAGCTGACACAAGTAAAAAAAGCAGCTCAAAGAAGCATGTCTTTCTCCACATTGACCTAAATTTACAGATCTGCATGTTGAAATAGTTGGGGAACTTATGTAATTTAAAAGAAAAAAGTTTTTTCCTGCATTATTTTTTAGTAGAATTTAGTGCCTCAAGATGGGTTATTATTCTGCTGTGTAAAGAGCTGCGTGAACTCAGGGAGATAAGACAGAAACGGAAAAGACAGGGGGAGGGAAGACTGCTCATTTCCATTGCAACACTATTTTAAACTGTAACTTCAGTCATAAGATTTATAGTTTAATAGTGTTTATTTCATTGAGTTCTCTGTACATTCTCCAGGTTACTAATCTGGAGATCATTTAAAGAGCAAGTGTGGAGCAAGACCCAAAGAGAAGCTCTGGAAGGGCGTTAGTGCTTTAATGATGAGGCCTCACGAGGTCCTGAGCTGAGTGGGAACTGCTGTGCTGATCCACCCAGCTTCCTCATGGACTGTGCCATCTTCCCTGGAAGACACAGGAGATCTATTAGGAGCCGTTAGGCTGACCTTCCTGAATTGTCCTATCTGTCCTGTTGGACAAGGAAGTGGTCATTCATTATCCTTAAATGTATTGTTGACTAAAATGTTCTGCTGTCCAAGCTGCCAGTGTGTTTAGGCTCACAGTCAATTTGGTCTCAAACTGTGACACATGGTATCAACTTTGGACATGCAGTGTCTTGTGCTGGTCATTCTTTCTTGCACCCCCCCTCACTGAAAAATAACCCATCACAGGAACAATGCTTTTACTCAAAATTTTCATTTATTTGACTTTCTGTATTAATTTTCTAGGCGCTTATCAACTGCATATATTAATACACTTTCTGGCTGCACAGCGCACTTTAATCAAACCTGCATTGATGCTACTAATCATACTATGGCAGCTATGTACTTTTTACAACTTAATCTTCAACTCCATAGCTAACCAAAACCAATTATAGCAAATTTCCCAAACTTTAATGTACCAAGGTAAATGGAATCAAAGTTGATTTTGTTGTTAATCAACAAACAAATTCATGTTGATTAGAGTAATGAAGTTGTGTCTCTTCTTTTCTAATACAGCTTCATAGTAAGTTTAGGCTTAAATTCACTGAAATTTTTGTTCTGAAAAGGTATTTTTTTGTTGCAATGTGTGCTATGGTCTTAATATATTTTTACCAAAGTAAATAAATTAGTATGTCTATGCTATGGTCTGTAGGCATGTTTTCCTCTAGAAGACTGAAAGCTACAATATTTCATTGCTTTAATTTTTCAGTGCTCATGGGTAAGAGAAAGGAAGAAAGTATTTCAAAGCCTGGATCCCATAAAAGGCAGAGACAAGAACACAGAGATGAACACAGTGATGAATCTAATGAAGAGGAAAATTTGCTGTCATCAGCTGATAGTAGTTTCTCTTCACTGTCAGTAAGTTGTTTAAAGAGTCATGAGGGGAAAGATTCAAGAGAAGGTTGATATAGAGAAGTTCTGTGCCTTTGGGTGATGTTGAAATAAATATCTTGTGTGTAGACTTTAGTGGAACCAGTGTTGATGAGGACTTCTGCATAAGTTCACTCTTACCTTATTCGTTTTTGGTCATCTAGTTATAACAGTCAATCATTAAGCAACAGTATTCTGGTTTTATAGAATGAATTCTATGGAAGTTGTCAAAAAAACAAATAAAGGAAATGGGTTTTGTTTGATAGAAATGTGGTATATTTCGTTTATGGTTGTAGTAACAGCAAATATTTAGAAAATATTTAGAAACCAAATCATTTAGTAAAAGAAGTGCTCTTGGGAGACCTCACCTGGAGTATTGTGTGCAGTTCTGGTGTCCTCAACATAAAAAGGACATGGAACTGTTGGAACAAGTCCAGAGGAGGGCCACGTGGATGATCAGGGGACTGGAGCACCTCTCATATGAAGATAGGCTGAGAAAGTTGGAGCTGTTCAGCCTGGAGATGAGAAGTCTGTGTGGAGACCTCATAGCAGCCTTCCAGTATCTGAAGGGGGTATATAGGGATGCTGGGGATGAACTCATCATTAGGGACTGTAGTGACAGGAGAAGGGGTAACGGGTTAAAACAGGGGAAGTTTAGATTGGATATAAAGAGGAAATTCTTTCCTGTTAGGGTGGTGAGGCACTGGAATAGGTTGCCCAGGGAGGTTGTGAATGTTCTATCCCTGGCAGTGTTCAAGACCAGGTTGGACAAGGCCTTGGGTGATATGGTTTAGTGTGAGGTGTCCCTGCCCATGGGAGGGGGCTTGGAACTTGATGATCTTAAGGTCCTTTCGAACCCTAACTATTCTGTTATTCTATTCTGTGATCAAATACTTGTTTTCCATAGTTGACAGTTTCAAATGTCTAAAAAAAAAAAATTCTACTGTTTGAAATACGT